CATACTGCCTGTGTTGCAGCACCTCTTTTCACCCTCTGTCTGAAACCAGAGCCCAGTCTGCTAGATTTTAGCTTTTGCCGACCATTTACATGCACAAAAACCTGTAGAACACACTACAGGAAAGGGAACATCCCAAAAAGCAGAATAGGGCCTCTTTAAGTCTCGATCAAAGACATAGAACCACTAACTTAGAGACTGACCAACACAACTATAGCAAAAAAAATACTTGTGAACTGAACACTGATTTATTATGTCACTATGGAAACAGTTAATGCAGGAGGTCTTCATTTTAAATTAAATAAAAATACTGCTTTAACATCAATGCAATGGTACACACATTCACATCCTTTGAATATGTGGAGGCTTGGCATTGTTTGTTTTGTTTCTTGTGCTGCTTCTGTCTTTCTCCATGACTGATCATATATCATATATGCCTTGCACACATTCAGGTAGACAGGGACACACTCAGATCGCCTGCAAGTGGAACAGCGAACATCTTCATTTCCTCGCTGTTATTTCTCTGCTGTAATCCTGCCTTCAGGCTTCGTCTGCTGCTCTATTCATTATTCCCATCAGCCTACATTCTCTGTCTGTCTGTTTTCCTTTAATGAGCCACAGATTGCTGCTGACCTGGAAGAAAGATGGGCTGATTTAAAGCTGGAGTTGGGAGTATTTGAAGTTCACCCTATTGTGATCCATCAAATGCACGCTGAAGGCTCTTTGAGCATGTTTTCTCTCACTGATTGTGCTGTTATGTTAAATGTTTGTTGTTTGTGTTTCATGTATTGTGTCTGGATATTTGTCTGTTGATGTTGGACATGGAGCTGCTGTGACGCAAATCAAACTTCAGACTTGATCTGACCAATAAAGTATTATCGTATCGTATCGTATGCCCGTGTGGGATTACTTCCACACAGAAAAAAAAGTGAGTCATTAGATCAAGATACTGTATCCTCCGTTTGCCCAATTAATTTTCTGATCCAAACTGTGAAAACCTTTTTTTTAATCAGATGTAACTGATATTCTACTTGAAATGATTGTTAAACAACAGGACCAGCATCCCAAATAAGTTAAAATGAAAACATAACACGGCAAAAACAGAGAAAATAAAAACCAGCTAAATGTGTGTCAGCTGTAATGACCATAATTAATATTGTGCTTCCTCTCACTCCTCACTGCTGCCATAGTGAAGGCTCCTATTTCCTCACTACAGGCTTTAAGCTCTTACTGCCGCAGATTTCCTACTTTTCTTCTTTTTATATTTTTAATTATGAATTTGGGCCCTATAACATAAAAAGAACAGCTTTCTTTTGTCAGACTTGGCTCGTCTTTTACCTTTGCAGAACTTTCTCTGAACAGATAGATCTGGGACACGCCCGCTTATTTAGCTTTAGTTAAAATATATGCTTTTTTTGGTCAATTTGCAGAAATCGAGGCACGTTCCATCCAATGTTGAATTAATACTGCCGTTGCATGCAATAAAAGCAACCTATTTATTCCCATTAAAATTGTGTCTTTGCATCTAACCTTTTCTATGCTAGCCCCTCCCTACATGCAGATCACGCAGACTGCGTGGGGCCTCATCTTGCGGAGGTGGCCTCATCTTATACGCAAATACGGCGCAATTCATCTTATGAGCAAATGCGGCGCAATTATGCGCTCCACAGTTTCCCCGCGAGTGCTAACAATTCACGAGCGTGCACCATTAGCATAATCCGGTTTACATAAAAAGTTGCAAAATATAAACTGTCAGTGGCATAAAGTCATTTTTGGCCTTTTACACATAGAATATTTAACATACTGGTCTAGAGGCAAATGCGATATATTTTACCAGACGTGGACTCCATATAAATGTAAAACTTGTGTATGTATAAATGATACATATGCACTATTTATATTTATATATATATTTATATAAGGATATATGCGCCGTCAAATTTTTCGTTATTCATTATTTCATTATGTTATTGCAAACTCTTACATTACTCCCACATTACATAATTAATAACTGTACAGTTGTAAATGTTGAATCTTTGTATCCCCTGCAGCTCCATTAATCATCACCTACGCACCTAAACTCTGATGCTCTGTATTCCAGAAGTGCAGTGGGACGCATAAAGTCTGCAGGCCACTGTACCGACACACTCCTCATTATGGTGGTTATAGATGTGGCAGCAGTGAAATATGTTCCACAGTACCTGATGCATTATTTACGCCTATCTTCTAACAGACAACGGGCGTCCCTGCCTTACCTGTCACTGCTGCAGACATTTTAATCTGTGTCATACACCCTGATGCCTGCACATGCCCCGATCTGTGCACCGCAATATACAATTATTAGGACATCAAATATAAACACTTCAGAAGGGAGAACTTGAACCAAAATGACTCCCCTAGATCCCCTACAATGTGAGGAAAACTATTAATCAACTATGTGAATTAAATCAAGTGCTTGGCTACTATTTGGCTGTATAGTTTTGGAGTGAAGCATCTTGGAAAAGGAGGTGAAGAAAAGATGTGAAGGAGAAAAAGAGCGGTGCAGTGACGACACTGTTTGTCGGCCAACGGGGACGTTAGCTTTGGAAGAGTTTCCTTGACAAAAAATAGAGCGATTTCCCCATTTGATTTATGTATATTGCAGGAAATAAGCTTTGTGGCAAACACAGTTTAAGATACTCCACATATTAGCACCACTTTGTGATGTTGGCTTATGTTGGCTTGATGACGTTCATTAGTTTTATTAAGACACTTGTTATCAACCAAAGCTTCAGACATTCACGAGAGGAGTATTTACTTGCATATTTTAAATATATTGATTATATTATAGAACTCCCACTGATTTCTTATAGCCAGCAGATAATTGCGTTCAGGAAAAATATCAACCAGGAGAGAAACGGTATCCACCTTTAATCCCGCCTCTAACTAATTGCTTCCTATGGATGAATGGAGTGAGTGTGAGCTGTGTTTGAAGCATTAGTTAAGGAACTGATGGCACGCTGTCCACACCTCTATATAGTCTCTTTTGTGAACCTGTGATGTTGAGTACCCCAAAGAATGATGATAACATATATAGTAGGGTCCCCAGCACATATAAACTGCCTGATGCTAACTTGCATATTTTGGGCAATTTGCAAAATTAGCATTAATTAATTAAGCCTATATAGAACAAGAACATAATCCCATCATGAAGGTGAAATAAATAGAGAGAGTGTTTCTCACGGCTGTCACTGTGGTCGTCCACCAGTACGATCTCTCTGAGCAGGTGGGGGGGGGTCCTCAGGATGGCTGTGTGGATTGAGCGCAGCAGCACGGACAAGGCCTCGTTCACAAAGATGAAGATGACACTGAGCTGAGGTAGATCTGATGAATAAGACATGTTCCTGCACCTGGGGTGGGGGGGGGCAGAATAAAGAGAATCAGAGAAAGAATTACCAACAGAAACATAAAGCCTTGAACAACATCATCTAAATAAAGCTTGAATCCATACAGGCAGGGATGGAGAGGTATTCAGTTATTTTACTTATCTCTATCTATCTAAGTAAAAATAGCAATACTAAATTGTATAAGTACTCCGTTACAAGTACAATTCCTGCATTCAAAATGTTACTTAAAGTATAGGTACAAAAGTACTTACTATTTCAGAATCTACATGTAATGACTGGATTATCATCAGTGGTGAAATAAGTACATTAATGTCAAAACACTCCATTACAAGTAAAAGTCCAATATTCTGAAGTAAAATATATTATCAGTTAAATATAATTAGCATAGCGAAAGTAAAAGTAGAAATTCTGAAGAAAATGTTCCCCCATATTTTGATACACTCATAATTCATGTTAAGAAATGTTTTAAATATATTGTAAATGTTCTAACAGTTTGACTACTTACATTTTTAGAGAGGCATTATCTTGAAAGTTTATCACAATATATATTTGAAATAAATGTACTTAGTTACTTTCCTCCACTGCATACAGGCACATACTGAAACCACACCTCGATGTATATATAAGTACACTGAGTACACAGAGTACACTGACCCGTCCGGTCGTAAATCTGGGATGGACCGGGTGAGGGAGATGCGGTCACTAAGGTAGCCGTTGTAGCCATAGTAACGGAACTTCCTGAGGGCCACCCTCTGACTCTCGGGGCCGAGGTCGTGACCCCAGTGTCCGAACAGCTCGGAAGAGTCTCTGGAGGAGTCTGGGGGAGGGGCAGCGTCTTCCCCGCCCCTCTGAGGGCTCTCTGTGGACACACAGGCACAAATACTGATGCACTGTAGACAAAACGTTTTTTTAAGAAACATATTTTGAAATGCTCACGTTCTCTCCAAATGTTTATTCGCAGATAAAATGTATAAATGAATAACTATCTTTGTATAAGGTGCATATTTAGAAGCATATCATATAAGGTGCAGGGTTAAGACATACATTGAAATACTGATGTAATAAATACAGATGTTATAAAGAGTTATACACAGACATGGTAAATGAGTCACAAGGAGTGAAACGTCCCTGAGTGTGAGGCGCTGTGGGTTTGAGCCCCATGACATTCAAAGGGAGTGTGCAGTGAGGAGGGGGGGGGGCTGAGTCTGAGTGTTCAGGAGGGTTAAGGTGTTGTGGAAGGAGCTGTTCCTGAGCCTGCTGGTGAGGGATCTAAGCTCCGGTACCTCCTCCCTTAAGGGAGGGGGCAAACAGTCCATATAGATTTCCCAGAGGCCTGTACTACGAAGCCGGATTTTCGCTTAGCGGGCTAGCTTGAGGGTAAACTCTGGGTCTCCGGTCCTACGACTCTGGTTCTCTTCTTATCGGGGTAGATCTCCATGGTAACTTATGCTGAACAGCAAACCTAGTCCGGAGCAGGTTAGGTTCCGGGATAAGAGATCAACTCAGTGAAAGCACCGCCTGCTGACCAATCAGAGCTCAGTGTGCGGAGTTTAAAGCTATCAAGTCATATTACAGGAGAAAGGAAATACAGAAAAACTGCCGTTGCAGGAAAGACGGCCGTCAAAAATCAACTGACTGTGTGAACGTGAAAATGAATAGAATATCACCTCCCATCTTCAGAGCAATCTGATTATTATAACATTAGCGTTAAGAAAGCTTACTTAAATATCTGCCACAACATAAGTAACCGGATCAGAGTAACATTAAGTACAGTCCACGGCATATCACATCATAATGTATCATATATTTCCATATCTGAGTCAGCTGAGCCGTATCTGGCCGTGCAACACTCAGTGTCACATACTGTATGCAGAAGTATTATTTTAAGCAACAATTTTGACGAAACACACGAGTAAAATGTAATTAAAGTCAGATTGTGTCTTAGACGGGGCAGTGATATCATAAACCTGTTAATATACGCGTTCAAACACTTTTTCTTTTACCAGCTGTATTCACCTTGCAGGTGCAGCTATGTTGCTTTTATCCTGGATAAAGTGTTTAAGTCATGGATGTTTAAAGTTTAACGTCTTCATATTTGTCTAATATTATAGTTTTCTTTTCATTCAGGAAGTATGATGCTGCGCTCTCAGTACGCTTGTCCCTGTTTGTGATTCGTCAAATGTTGCTAACCCCGCCCCCTTTCACGTGAACGAGCTCTCAGCTGGAGAGAGAAACCCTTGCTTGAGTTACCGGCCGTTTCTCAATCGCGAGGAAACTGGCTTCCAAGCCAATATTTCAAGGATACTACGTCATCGAGTGCCGCCGAAGGGACTGTTCCAATCTCCAGCATACTTGGAATTCCACCGAGGCCACGTCCTTGGTTTGGGGGTAATTTCGAGGCTGCACATGGGCC